TGAGTTCTTTGATGTCGCTCAAGGCCCTGTTTCCAGCAGAAGTTCATTCCACACTCCATGCATTTATATGGTTTCTCCCCTGTGTGAATTATTTGATGCTGCCTAAGGGTCCCTTTCTGACTGAAGCTCTTGCCACACTCCATACATTGATATGGTTTCTCTCCTGTATGAGTTCTTTCATGCAGCCTAAGATGCTCTTTCTGATTGAAGCTCTTTCCACACTGCAGGCATTTATATGGTTTCTCTCCTTTGCTTCTTTCTTCAGGAAATTTTCCACTATCATTGAAATGTTTTCCAGGGTCCACGTTTTGATACTTTTTTGAGCCTGACAGGATTATGCCATATCTCCTTGATTTCCCATCTGCCTCGCAAGAAGTGGATGATTTTCTGTTCCCTTTCTTGGACTGGTTTTGCATGACATTCTTAGGTCCCTCTAGACTGCTAAGTATCTCTCTTCCTTCCTTGGGCTCTTGTACTTTCCATGGCACAAGAGAGAGCTTTCGGCACTTCTCATCCTCCTGAACTTCACCTAAATTTGGAAAAAAGAAAAAGAAAAATAGTCTCCTGTCTGACTGTTTCAGGGAAATACAGTATGGGAATTTTAACCTCCTTACATCCTGTCTGGGAACTAGATCATCCTTTCAATAAGCTGTTATCTGAAACCATCAGAGGAATTAATTTTTGATGGTATCTTATTTGATTTTATTTGGCAACGAAGACTATGTAAACAAAATGGGAGAAAAACAGAACTGCAGCGAGCTTTGGGGAAGGAAGGAGGAACAATATTGGCAACAGGGCACTCTTCACCTTTCTGTTAATCTAGCTGTACTTAGAACCAAAGATCAATAAATGTGGTATAGACATGAGCCACTGCTCTCTACTAGATTTGGGATTCCTTTTCAATCCATAGTGATTCTACTTCAGGTGCATCCACTGTTCAAGCAAAGGGAGAAATCACAGCCCCTATTACTTGATTGTCATATATTCCTCCCCAGAAAATATGAAAAGAGTGGATAAGCTGATGTCATGACAGATCACGGACAAGAATTTGCATGCAATGGTAATCCATAGAGCACCAGAACATAAATACATAGAAATCAAGCTTGATTTCTTACTAGAAAATATAATGTGTAAAATGAGGCCAATGTGCTTTGGAAATCTTATGGGAAGACAAGATTTAGTGGAAAAGACCATCAAGCTAAATAATGTTGGCAGCACTACAAAAGGGGAAAGGCCTAATGTAAGATGGACTGAATCCATTAACAAAGCGAAGGTCTTTAATTTCCAAGATCTGAGGAGGGCTATTAATAATAAGACTTTCTTGAGGTCACTAACTCAAAGGATTCCTTAAATCAGAAATAAAGTGTTGCTTTAATTTAAAATATTTAAAATATTTTTACCCTGCTGTCCTCCTGTCTGACTGTTTAAGAGAAATATGGGGACTTTCACCAAATATTGAAATATTTATATTTATTTTTTCACAATCACCTTCCCTTCCCTATGCCCTATCCTGGAACTAGATCAACTTTTCAATAAGCTGTTATCTGCAACGATGACGGGAATTCATTTCTGGATGGTATCTTAACCGAATTTACAAGGCCACAAAGACTATGTATACAGAATGTGAGGAAAACACAACTGCAACAGGGCCTATGGAAAGAAAGAGGAACAGAAAAAGCTCCTTTCTATCAATCTAGCTGTATTTAGAACCAAAGATCAATTGGCATGGTATAGATCTCTGTCCACATGTTGTCCTTTTAGAGAACAGTTGTGGCCATGATCTTGAAACAAGAACAACAACAACATCATCTTAGAACTGCACAGCTAAACATGACCCTGTGGATCATTGATGCCAGCCCTTGTCAACGAGGTACAATGGGGAATCAAACTCGCAATCCTGGCCCTACAGCTAGAGACTTAAACCACTGAGGTGTGGTATAGATACAAAACTGGCAAAAGAGCACTCCTCACCTTTTTATTAATGCATTTATATGGTTTCTCCCCTGTGTGAACCCTTAGATGATCACTAAGGGCCCCTTTCTGAATGAAACGCTTTCCACACTCGATACATTGATATGGTTTCTCCCCCGTGTGAATTCTTTGATGCAGCCTAAGGTGCTCTTTCTGACTGAAGCTCTTTCCACACTCCATGCACTGATATGGTTTCTCTCCTGTATGAGTTCTTTCATGTAGTCTCAGGGTACCTTTCTGACAGAAGCTCTTTCCACATTGCACACATTTATGTGGTTTCTCTCCTTTGTGGATTCCTTGATGCTGCCTAAGGTGCTCTTTATGAATGAAGTTTTTTCCACACTCACTGCATTTATAAGGCTTCTCTCCTGTGTGGATTCTTTGATGGGCAGAAAGAGACCCGCTATGACTAAAGCTCTTTCCACACTCCATACATTTATACGGTTTCTCTCCTGTGTGAGTTCTTTGATGTAAAGCAAGGCTAGAACTAAAAGTGAAGTTCTTCCCACATACCATACATTTATATGGTTTCTCCCCTGTATGAGTTCGATGATGTTGCCTCAGGTTCCCTTTTGCACCGAAGCACTTTCCACATTCAATGCATTTATATGGTTTTTCACCTGAATGAGTTCCTTCATGCCGCCTGAGGGCCCCTTTCCGAATAAAGCTGCTTCCACACTCCATGCATTTATATGGTTTCTCCCCTGTGTGAGTTCTTTGATGCAGCTGAAGTTCCCATTTCTCACAGAAGCTCTTTCCACACTCCATGCATTTATATGGTTTCTCCCCAGTGTGAGTTCTTTGATGTCGCTCAAGGCCCTGTTTCCAGCAGAAGTTCATTCCACACTCCATGCATTTATATGGTTTCTCCCCTGTGTGAATTATTTGATGCTGCCTAAGGGTCCCTTTCTGACTGAAGCTCTTGCCACACTCCATACATTGATATGGTTTCTCTCCTGTATGAGTTCTTTCATGCAGCCTAAGATGCTCTTTCTGATTGAAGCTCTTTCCACACTGCAGGCATTTATATGGTTTCTCTCCTTTGCTGCTTCTTTCTTCAGGAAATTTTCCACTATCATTGAAATGTTTTCCAGGGTCCACGTTTTGATACTTTTTTGAGCCTGACAGGATTATGCCATATCTCCTTGATTTCCCATCTGCCTCGCAAGAAGTGGATGATTTTCTGTTCCCTTTCTTGGACTGGTTTTGCATGACATTCTTAGGTCCCTCTAGACTGCTAAGTATCTCTCTTCCTTCCTTGGGCTCTTGTACTTTCCATGGCACAAGAGAGAGCTTTCGGCACTTCTCATCCTCCTGAACTTCACCTAAATTTGGAAAAAAGAAAAAGAAAAATAGTCTCCTGTCTGACTGTTTCAGGGAAATACAGTATGGGAATTTTAACCTCCTTACATCCTGTCTGGGAACTAGATCATCCTTTCAATAAGCTGTTATCAGAAACCATCAGAGGAATTAAGTTTTGATGGTATCTTATTTGATTTTATTTGGCAACGAAGACTATGTAAACAAAATGGGAGAAAAACAGAACTGCAGCGAGCTTTGGGGAAGGAAGGAGGAACAATATTGGCAACAGGGCACTCTTCACCTTTCTGTTAATCTAGCTGTACTTAGAACCAAAGATCAATAAATGTGGTATAGACATGAGCCACTGCTCTCTACTAGATTTGGGATTCCTTTTCAATCCATAGTGATTCTACTTCAGGTGCATCCACTGTTCAAGCAAAGGGAGAAATCACAGCCCCTATTACTTGATTGTCATATATTCCTCCCCAGAAAATATGAAAAGAGTGGATAAGCTGATGTCATGACAGATCACGGACAAGAATTTGCATGCAATGGTAATCCATAGAGCACCAGAACATAAATACATAGAAATCAAGCTTGATTTCTTACTAGAAAATATAATGTGTAAAATGAGGCCAATGTGCTTTGGAAATCTTATGGGAAGACAAGATTTAGTGGAAAAGACCATCAAGCTAAATAATGTTGGCAGCACTACAAAAGGGGAAAGGCCTAATGTAAGATGGACTGAATCCATTAACAAAGCGAAGGTCTTTAATTTCCAAGATCTGAGGAGGGCTATTAATAATAAGACTTTCTTGAGGTCACTAACTCAAAGGATTCCTTAAATCAGAAATAAAGTGTTGCATTCATTTAAAATATTTAAAATATTTTTACCCTGCTGTCCTCCTGTCTGACTGTTTAAGAGAAATATGGGGACTTTCACCAAATATTGAAATATTTATATTTATTTTTTCACAATCACCTTCCCTTCCCTATGCCCTATCCTGGAACTAGATCAACTTTTCAATAAGCTGTTATCTGCAACGATGACGGGAATTCATTTCTGGATGGTATCTTAACCGAATTTACAAGGCCACAAAGACTATGTATACAGAATGTGAGGAAAACACAACTGCAACAGGGCCTATGGAAAGAAAGAGGAACAGAAAAAGCTCCTTTCTATCAATCTAGCTGTATTTAGAACCAAAGATCAATTGGCATGGTATAGATATCATCAACAACAACAACATCATCTTAGAACTGCACAGCTAAACATGACCCTGTGGATCATTGATGCCAGCCCTTGTCAACGAGGTACAATGGGGAATCAAACTCGCAATCCTGGCCCTACAGCTAGAGACTTAAACCACTGAGGTGTGGTATAGATACAAAACTGGCAAAAGAGCACTCCTCACCTTTTTATTAATCTATCTGTACAGTGGTGCCTCGCATAGCGAGGTTAATCCATTCCAGATTAACCTTCGCTATGCGAAAACATTGCTAAACGGGAATAAAAAAGCCATAGAAACGCATTGAACTTTGTTCAATGCGTTCCTATGGCTTCAAAACTCACCGTTAAGCGATGTTTCTCCATAGCGCCGCCATTTTCGTGCCCTCGGTAAGCGAGGGAAGGGCGCGAAAATGCGGCGCGGACTTTCCGGCGGCCATTTTGGAACCGCCGATCAGCTGTTCTCCCCCGCTTCGTTCTGCGAAGATCGCTAAGCGAATCGCTTAGCAATCATCGCAAAGCGAAAAATTGCCATAGGGGCCATCGCTGAGCAAACGCTCCAGCGATGGCCCGGACCCCCTCGCTATGCGAATTCATCGCATAGCGAAGCATTCGCTAAGCGAGGCACCACTGTATTTAGAACCAAAGATCAATAGGTGTGGTACAGATATGAGTCACTGCTCTCTGTTGGATTTAGAATTCCTCTTCAATCCCCAGTGATTCTACATCAAGTTCAGCCTCTGTTTGAACAGGGGCAAAGACAGTACCTCTCCTTACCTGATTGTTCTTATTGATTCCTCCCAACAGAGAAGAAAGGAGTGGATAAGGTGGTGCCCTTAAAGACCAAGGACAAGAACATGCATACCATGGGAATCCATGAAGCACCAGAACATGTAGGTTCTTGTTTAAATCAAACCTTAATTCTTACTAGAAAATAAGATATGTACTTTGGACATCTCATGAGAAGACAAGGCTTTGAGGAAGATGATTAGGCTAAGTAATGCTGGGGGCCTAATGCGAGATGGACTGAATCCATTAACAAATGTCAAAGCCTTTAATTTCCAAGAGGGCCAAGGGGCGATGCTATATAAGTGGTAGTCAAAAAAGGATCACTCCACAATAACTCGGGATTTGATTACATGAGGGCAACCAAATGGTGTTGAGCATGACCAGAGATGAGTGTGTTATCCAAAAAGAGCTAAATCCACATGGATGTGTCCTTGTCCAAGGCAGTGAACAGAAAAAAACACAAGAAACTGAGCCTGTGTCACAGATCACAAGATGTGCTTCATCTTCCGATGTAAGCTATATCTGAAGTTGCTTCTTTCTTCAGGAAATTTTCCACTATCATTGAAATGTTTTCCAGGGTCCACGTTTTGATACTTTTTTGAGCCTGACAGGATTATGCCATATCTCCTTGATTTCCCATCTGCCTCGCAAGAAGTGGATGATTTTCTGTTCCCTTTCTTGGACTGGTTTTGCATGACATTCTTAGGTCCCTCTAGACTGCTAAGTATCTCTCTTCCTTCCTTGGGCTCTTGTACTTTCCATGGCACAAGAGAGAGCTTTCGGCACTTCTCATCCTCCTGAACTTCACCTAAATTTGGAAAAAAGAAAAAGAAAAATAGTCTCCTGTCTGACTGTTTCAGGGAAATACAGTATGGGAATTTTAACCTCCTTACATCCTGTCTGGGAACTAGATCATCCTTTCAATAAGCTGTTATCTGAAACCATCAGAGGAATTAATTTTTGATGGTATCTTATTTGATTTTATTTGGCAACGAAGACTATGTAAACAAAATGGGAGAAAAACAGAACTGCAGCGAGCTTTGGGGAAGGAAGGAGGAACAATATTGGCAACAGGGCACTCTTCACCTTTCTGTTAATCTAGCTGTACTTAGAACCAAAGATCAATAAATGTGGTATAGACATGAGCCACTGCTCTCTACTAGATTTGGGATTCCTTTTCAATCCATAGTGATTCTACTTCAGGTGCATCCACTGTTCAAGCAAAGGGAGAAATCACAGCCCCTATTACTTGATTGTCATATATTCCTCCCCAGAAAATATGAAAAGAGTGGATAAGCTGATGTCATGACAGATCACGGACAAGAATTTGCATGCAATGGTAATCCATAGAGCACCAGAACATAAATACATAGAAATCAAGCTTGATTTCTTACTAGAAAATATAATGTGTAAAATGAGGCCAATGTGCTTTGGAAATCTTATGGGAAGACAAGATTTAGTGGAAAAGACCATCAAGCTAAATAATGTTGGCAGCACTACAAAAGGGGAAAGGCCTAATGTAAGATGGACTGAATCCATTAACAAAGCGAAGGTCTTTAATTTCCAAGATCTGAGGAGGGCTATTAATAATAAGACTTTCTTGAGGTCACTAACTCAAAGGATTCCTTAAATCAGAAATAAAGTGTTGCATTCATTTAAAATATTTAAAATATTTTTACCCTGCTGTCCTCCTGTCTGACTGTTTAAGAGAAATATGGGGACTTTCACCAAATATTGAAATATTTATATTTATTTTTTCACAATCACCTTCCCTTCCCTATGCCCTATCCTGGAACTAGATCAACTTTTCAATAAGCTGTTATCTGCAACGATGACGGGAATTCATTTCTGGATGGTATCTTAACCGAATTTACAAGGCCACAAAGACTATGTATACAGAATGTGAGGAAAACACAACTGCAACAGGGCCTATGGAAAGAAAGAGGAACAGAAAAAGCTCCTTTCTATCAATCTAGCTGTATTTAGAACCAAAGATCAATTGGCATGGTATAGATATCATCAACAACAACAACATCATCTTAGAACTGCACAGCTAAACATGACCCTGTGGATCATTGATGCCAGCCCTTGTCAACGAGGTACAATGGGGAATCAAACTCGCAATCCTGGCCCTACAGCTAGAGACTTAAACCACTGAGGTGTGGTATAGATACAAAACTGGCAAAAGAGCACTCCTCACCTTTTTATTAATCTATCTGTACAGTGGTGCCTCGCATAGCGAGGTTAATCCATTCCAGATTAACCTTCGCTATGCGAAAACATTGCTAAACGGGAATAAAAAAGCCATAGAAACGCATTGAACTTTGTTCAATGCGTTCCTATGGCTTCAAAACTCACCGTTAAGCGATGTTTCTCCATAGCGCCGCCATTTTCGTGCCCTCGGTAAGCGAGGGAAGGGCGCGAAAATGCGGCGCGGACTTTCCGGCGGCCATTTTGGAACCGCCGATCAGCTGTTCTCCCCCGCTTCGTTCTGCGAAGATCGCTAAGCGAATCGCTTAGCAATCATCGCAAAGCGAAAAATTGCCATAGGGGCCATCGCTGAGCAAACGCTCCAGCGATGGCCCGGACCCCCTCGCTATGCGAATTCATCGCATAGCGAAGCATTCGCTAAGCGAGGCACCACTGTATTTAGAACCAAAGATCAATAGGTGTGGTACAGATATGAGTCACTGCTCTCTGTTGGATTTAGAATTCC